ACCAATACAGTTCTAACTGTAATTCTTTTCTAAATTAACTCTTCCACCAATACAATTCTAACTGTAATTCTTTTCTAATTTCTGTGATAATTAACTCTTCTAGCAATTTAACTTAAGGACTAGTTCCCAAAAATATAATTCAAGTTCTTGCTTGAATTAACCCGTCCAAAAATTTAACGTGGAAAATGATCAAAACTGATAAAAAATACTATTTTCACTTTAGAAACTATAAGACACATCATTAGAACACATATATTGTAATTTTGAGAAAAATAGTTTCTGTAAAAAAAATTAATGATTTCGTTTAGGAATTTCAACAGTATAGTATAGATAACAGATAGGCAGTCTAGGTAAAAATTATTGTTCTTCTATTGGTATCTTCCAAATGACGGTACGCTTTGTACTCGTACTTCAGCTATGGATAATTATCTTAACAAACAAGCTGTATGATCAAAACGGATAAACGTTGGAGTGTGTTTGAAGCAATATGAAGAGCTTATTACGAAACCTAAACTCTTATGTGTTATCAGTATTACTTCAACTTAGAGATGTAGAAAGTCAAAACATCTTATAAGATAAACACACAATGAAGTAATTTAACGCCCTCTATGGTAAAAGATCTGAAGCGGGATTTCATAAAACGTGACCTTTTTCGAGAAATATTCTTTGAATACTGCTAGACTCAAAAATAAATAGAAGTCTCTAAAGTTTGATGATAAAAAATTACTTAGATTTACACTCTCTTATTTTAAACAAATTCCGAAGTAGAATATATTGTTGTCACATTGTTCTTTCTTTGCGAGTTCTATTAAATTAAGACGTGCAAATAATTCAAAGTCCAGTCCGATAACGGTCACAAAATAGTTTGTTTCTTCCCTAAAGATTTATTACAGACCCTTACACTTCGTATTTTGTGGTAGGCCTAAGTTTTCAGCCACGCTAACTGTACTACACAATGTAAAAAATAAACTTACTGATTCAGGGGTACCGCAATAGCTTCCACATACTCATTTTACTATCTTCTCGAAACAACTATTCTTTTTGTATCTCAACTAATTTTGAACTCAACTAACTAATATTTCACGGAAAGTCCTTACATAATCTACATTCGAATATACTAGAACTTTAAGTTGCATCCTTAGAGTTTTATAAATGTTCTAGGCCTATCTTAAATTCCGATCTACAGCTCCCTCTAGCTAGCAAACGACAGTTTTACTAGCTAACAAACAAATTTAAACATTCAAATATATGTATATATAGAGAGTTACATACATGCCACCGCAGCCTGGCATGGCCTGATGGTTAGGGCACTCGGCTCGGCTCGCAACCTAAGGGTCGTTGGTTCGAATCTCCATCACCGAACATGTTCACGCTATCAGCCTGGGGCGTTATAACGTGACGGTCAATCCCACTATTCGATGGTAAAAGAGTAGCCCAAGAGTTGGCAGTGGGTGGTGATGACTAGCTGTCGTCTATCTAGTCTATCACTGCTAAACTAGGGATAGCTGACACAGCTAGCCCTCGTGTAGCTCTGCGCGAAATTCAAAAACAAACACACCACCACAGAATGGTTGTCACCTTTGTAATAAAACTCTTTGTCAGACCTGCAAGTTCATGAAAACTACCAACAAATTTTCCAATAGAGAAAACCATAACCATTTTAAAATTACTAATGAAATAATAAGCACTCCAATTTATGTTAAACAGAGTGTAAAAAATAGTAACCAATATGTTATCCAAGCTTAGTGAACTTATGGTCTTAAATCTGAATAAGATATTATAATTTAGTTGGAACTGTCTTTGTATATTTTTAGAAATCGGCTATAGCTATCAAATACGTTTTATCTTTACAAAAATAATTTCCAAGCGTGATAATAATAAAATATCATTGATATATACAAACGGCAGCACACGACTCAAAGGTTTCTAACCCTTTCTCTTAGAACTATGCATACTCAAAAACTGGTTCGATAATGTTCACCTTTGTTTTAATGTCAATTTTCACTAACTTCGTTTGGTTTGTTTTGAATTTCGCGCAAAGCTACACTAGGGCTATCTGCGCTAGCCGTCCCTAATTTAGCAGTGTAAGACTAGAGAAAGGCAGCTAGTCATCACCACCCACCGCCAACTCTTAGGCTACTCTTTTACCAACGAATAGTGGGATTGACCATCACATTATAACGCACACACGGCTGAAAGGTGGGACGGGGATTCGAACCCGCGACCCACAGATTGCGAGTCGAGCGCTCTAACCACCTGGCCATGCCGGGCCCCACTAACTTTGTTTCCCCAAAGGTTTGCCTTTTGTATTGCTTCAGGATCCACATTTATCAAATAATTTTAGTGGTAATTTTAGTGAACCAGCATAAATGCATGGCGTCAAAAAATTACAAGTAACTTATATTATTTCGCCTAATGTTTCAACGTTCTTTTCTTTCTTTTCATATTTATATTTAACAACAAAACAGATGATAAACCAATTATGGCTAGACTTTACTGCAGATGTTTCCTTTCCACGTTCCTCTGAAGTAGGACACTATGGATTTTCAATCTGCACTTCAGATCTATCTTTTGTCTGCCACAAGTCGCTGCCATTCGTTCAATACCAGAACTCTTCAACTGGATTTGACCTATGCCACTCAAAATTATATCTGAATGCTATGTATATGCAGCACAAGTAACTTACTGTAATGATGTAAAATTCCTAAGCAGGCGAAGCAGTGAGGCTTTACAGGCCAACATAAGTGGTTAAAATCACGCGTAACTACAGATCCCCCCCTCCCCAACACACACATACACACATTCCTCTCCATTAAGCGTTTTACACCAAAGTATACTTCTTATACTAAAAGTGTATAACGAATAAACTGATGAAGCGTGACCTATTGATGAAAATTTCTCGTACTACATAGAAAATGCGCTTCTAGCAAAAGTCATCTGGAAGAGTGATTTGTGGCACGAAATACGGATATTGAATGCTACTTACATCTATGATTCGAAATTTGTAATTTTTTAATTAAGGAAAGGTGAAACAAACCTGCGGTCAAACGTAATTTTAATCAATTTTTAGTAACGTGAAATATATTGAAATACTGATATGTTTTCTCACAAATCAACGTAAACATATCTAACCAATAATAAACAAGTAGGAATAACATAGAAAACTATATATATATATATATACACACACACACATAAGAACTTAAGCGACAACTAGAGGTAAAAACATGCAACCATTTTGATATACAACTTATAATGGAAGCCATTATGTACAACATGCACATGTAGTTTGCCTTACAGTAAAATACGACGTAACATTGTTAAAACGTTTGCTTTAAATCTTATAACAGAAACAACCTGAAGGAGAACTACAAAACGATTATTAATATGCATGAAATTGTTTGTTGGTTTTAGTATTTTTGTGCAAAACTACACAAAGAACTATTTTCGTATAGCTGCCCTATTGGACAAGAAGGGAGACAACTAGCCACCACCAACTATTGGACTGTCCCTATCTGACCGAACAATGGTATTTGTCTGTCAATGTAATAAAGCACTTATAGCTCCAAACTACAAAGCGCGATTTTGCGACAATGGGACTCGAACCATGGATCTACGGATTAACAATCCGGTATGCGAACTACTAGGCCACGCTCGGCCTGAATAATAGAAGTAAAAGGGACAAGGGGACTTAATAAAAAAAAAGGGATAAGAAGTGTGAATAAATTGGATGAAAAACTTGTTTGTTATGAATTTCGCGCAAAGCTACACGAGAGCTATCTACGCTACCCGTCCCTAATTTAGCAGTGTAAGACTAGAGGGAAGACAGCCCAACTCTTGGGTTACTCTTTTACCAACGAATAGTGGGATTGGTCGTCACTTTATAACGCCCCCCACGGCTAAAAGGTCGAGCATGTTTGATGGGACGGGGATTCAAACCCGCGACCCGCAGATTGCGAGTCGAGCGCCATACTAGGCCTAGGATGGATAGAGATAAGGAATTCTGAATGTATGAAAGAAAAAAAAGCAACAGATCGAAAGTATGTCTGTAAATATACGATAAGTAAAACAAAATATACAAAATAAAACATAATAATCGTATAGTAACTTATGGAAAACAATAAGAGTAGAACTACAACAGATCAAAAATGGGATAAGAAAAACTGTTATAGTTAGCCATGATGTTCTATAGATTTCTCAAAAAGAAAATGGTAACGTTATTCAAGCTAATGTCTAAGAATATTCCTACTTTGTAGGACTGGAACAAGCTAAAGAAAACTAGAATAAAAAAAAGGTCGTTTCAACATGCATGACTGAACCAAAAACCCTTTTCATTTAGAAACTCTGATTAAGCTGTTCCTGTTTGAGTATTAGTGACGGGATTTGAAGTGATAATATGCGAACTGAGGATTGGAAAAAAAAAAGTGGCTTGGTTTTATCATCACGAAACACTCATGCTGGATCATATCGTGGTTTACACACTCCCCTGGCAACATTCAACTGCTATTGAACGATTTCAAAATTAATTCTATTACGAAAACTTTTAAGCTTCTGGCCATCGTGACTAAAAATATATATATTAATAACTGGTTGAAGTATTAAACTAATTTGAATTTCAAACGTCAAGCAAAAGAAGAATACTACAAGAATTCGTTTATAGAGCTTTCAACTTGGTATTATAAAAACTGTATGTTTATTTTTCCCATTCTTTAATATGTCTTAGTCAAGTTGCGTGATAAGAGATGGTATTCCTCTACAGCAATCATTCTCAGCAACAAAAAAAAGACTATTTTATTCCTCTAAATATTCCATTTACAATTCATAAATTACTGAAGTAAAAAACACCAGATTATTTATGCGAACTGACATTTCATTTTTTTTTTCTTTCTTAATGCAAACGCAACAACTCTTTATCAACAAATGTCAGGCAAGTTGTTCGCCTGCTGCTAGTTGAAATACTGACAAATACCAAACACTCTAAATGGCTTTGAAAGACTTACTGTCAAATTTCGATGTCTTAGAAGCAAACTTGTTTTTTAATGAACCGATACCGTCCTTCAGAAGTTTGTCGAACTCAACTCGGCTGTGTGTACTTAGTTTGTGCTCCATTTCTTCAGTACAACACGTGTAACTACGGTCACATATCCGTAAATGGTCACCTGCAATAAGAATTAGACAATGAATTATATAATGATTCTCTCGATTAAACATACTGAAACAGAGGCTTAACAGTTTTACCATAAACATGTGCGTTACGTAGATATGAAAAATGTCACGGTAAGCTCTAACATGTGGTATTCATTTTATGTACTAAACTTTAGATCTATATACAGAGCACGTTACTTGCTCTTTCAAGCCAGTATTAGATATGTATTTATGCATGAGGTAGCTCTAAAACGAGTAACAAATTTATGGAACTCTAATATTATTTTAATATATATATATTAACAGTGGCCATGAACTGAATTTGTTTATAGTTTCTCTGACACATTATTTTATTTGAACTAAGAATATTAATGAAACTGAGATATACATGTATGCTTATAAGTAACGAAAATCATGCTACCACGATCAAACTTCACGTGACGGCATCATAAAAACTTAAGAGTCACATCAGAATTTCAATGATGCGACTTAGCATCCATTATCCGCAATCCCTTTGTTTTAACATTCGCACACTGCCGTAAAACCTTCATAGATCGAAACATGCATACCACATGGATAACAAATTCGACACGAGTTCATTCTGATTATAAAGAGAATAGGCATATTTTCAAGTACAATAACTACTACTTGGAAACCTATGTACTGCGCGTGTGTAATTGCGGATACATTAAAATGTAAACTCAATATATGTATGTACATAAACTATTATTTGACATACGTGTGTGTGTGTGTCCGCTTGTAATTGGCGAGCCGCTGTACCGACTGTCACCAAATCTGACATACATCATTATTATACTCTGGGGAGTGATACAAAGGGGTCAGCGTTCCGATCTCACTCCATATGCCATCCCCAGGGCCCGTGCGTTGTGTCCGCTTATATCTGCCAAACTGCTGGACCAATTGTCACCAAACCCGGCATGCAGCCTTACATTCTCTAAAGGAGTAAGATAGGTGGTCGGCGTTCGGATCTAACTTCTTGTGTCACCCACGTGACACATACTCATTGTGTCACATGTAAGTAAATAGTTGGTCAGCTGGCAGAATATATATCTACTTATATACATATAACACTATATTTAGTCTATTACTTAAATCAGTTTCTAACTAATAACCATTACTGACACTTCATTTTCTCAACAGTTCCAAGAAACATTGTTAACTATGGTACTTTTTGAGACAACAACATCAAAAACTGTTGATAATAGAATCTATTTAATTAACGGGGGCTATAAGTTCACGTTCGTAAGCTATCTTTCTATAAAGAATTCTTCCCTTATCGCCAGCCAATACATCCAATTAATAAGAAAATGGGAACGTGATAGAATATTAGCAGATAGTAAGAAAGACATTTAACTACTTATAAATCGTAATGCTACCAATGAATTATGCTTGTAACCAATTACCTTTCAAAACTACATATTTATTTAAAACTTGTTATTAAATAGAACTTGTATACTTTGTTGACATTAACTTTACGTTTAGCACTCAAAGTGACGAGTACCACTCGAACGAATTCAGCACGGTCAAAGGACAATGACGGCTATATTTGAAATACCACACCGATTCACATAACCCGATAAAACCTCAGCGCTTTCGAAGACTTACTTCTTCAAAGGTAGACTTTTTTTTCTTATCTAATACGTTTTTTTAGGTTTTTTTTTAACTTTTCCAGATGTAATCAATACTCGTGAAACCTAACGTGTGAATTATTTAGTAGAAATTTTAGATGACTGATTTTGAAATTAAATATACCCAGAAGAGAACTCCTGTTGGTACTCACAGGAACTCAGTACCGATTTGTTTTTAATTCCAAATGGAGTACATTTTTTTTTAGAAGTCGTTACCGAGTTACGTTATCTTTGTATTTCTTTACAGTTCGATTTGAATAGCGCATGAAAGAGTACTTTTAATTTCCAGAAAACTTCATACATTATGAGCCCAGGTCCCGATAAAAGTGAGTATCGGTATTTCGTTAAGGAGAATTTTTACCACTGCTTATGTGCCAGTACCAGAAAAAAACCTTTAAAAAACTTACGTAGCATGGTGGCTGGTACGTATTGACGGAAAAGTTATTTATAACATAATAAATATTCTGCACCATAACAACAACACATAGAAACACAACTTCACGATTAAAATGGGAATAAGCTAACTTCCTCTAAGTTAATATTCCGTTCCCTAGGAACAAAGAAAAGATGAACTTCATCAAAAGCTCCATCTAATTTTCTCTGAGCCAAAACCCCGAATAAAAGTACACTTTTCTATTTTCTACATGTATTGTAAGGTTATTAGGAATCCTCTTATTCACTTTCCCTGTATCATTTGGTCATTGCAAGTTCTGTCTCTCATTCTTTCCGCGTATCATTAGATCATAACAAGTCATTTCTTTCACTCTTTCCCTGTATCATTAGGTGATTACAAGTCTCTCTTCCATTCTCTCCGTGTAACATTAGGTCATTATAAGTCCTCTCTTTCACTCTTTCCCTGTATCATTAGGTGATTACAAGTCTCTCTTCCATTCTCTCGGTGTAACATTAGGCCATTATAAGTCCTCTCTTTCACTCTTTCCCTGTATCATTAGGTGATTAGAATTCTCTCTTCCATTCTCTCCGTTTAACATTAGGACATTATAAGTCCTCTCTTCCATTCTCTCCGTGTAACATTAGGACATTATAAGTGCTCTCCTTCACTCTTTCCCTGTATCATTAGGTGATTACAAGTCTCTCTTCCATTCTCTCCGTGTAACATTAGGACATTATAAGTCCTCTCTTTCACTCTTTCCCTGTATCATTAG